AAAAAAAAAAAAAAAGCTGGGCATTGTGGCATACACCTTTAATCCCAGTACTCAGGAAGCAGAACAGATGTCTGTGAGTTCGAGGCCAGCCTGGTCTACAAAGAGAGAGTCCGGGACAGCCAAGGCTACACAGAGAAACCCTGTCTCGGAAAACCCAAAACAAAACATCAACAACAAAACAACACGAAATTAAATGAACAAATATCATTTGTTCGTTTTTTTATAAAGACATGAAAAGACTAGAAGCTCTATACATTGCCTGCAGCAGTATAAAATGATGTAGCTGCTTGGGAAAACAGTCTGGCTAGTCCTTGAAAGGCTAGCCTAAAGTTGCCATGAGCCCTCAGCAAGTCTACTCTTAGAGAGGGGAATTCCACAACCAAAGAAATGAAGACTTCATCCACACAAACCTTTCTGGCAGCATTATTTATAAGAACTAAAAAGTAGAAAAAGTGGTAGATTTCTTGCTTAGCATGGGCAAGGCCTTGGGTTTGATTGCTCAGAGCATAAAAACCGAGATGTCCATCAACTATGGGAAAGCAGAGTATAGTATACTTGTTCACTCTCATAAAGCACCGAGTTGCACTGCATTTGTAAATCATACACAGCATAGTGTATGATTCCATGTATATGAAATGTCCAGAACATGCAAATCCACAGGGGTAGAAAGTAGACTGGCAAAGATCGGAAGGGAACAGGAGAATAACTGCCAGTGGTAATGATTCTTAGCAGTCTGTGCAGCCCCTGGTTGTCCTGGAACTTGCTTTGTAAACCAGGCTGTGTTTGAACTCACAACGGTCTGCCTACCTCCCAGTGCTGGGATTAAAGTCCTGTGTTACCAAATCCAGAAGGTTTTGTTTTGGGGATGATGGAAAGTTTTAAATTTTGACAGGGTGCTTGCTACAAAGCTATGCAAGTATATATACATATATTTTTATATATTTAATATAGAATTATATGTATAAATATATTAATTAAAACTAATATATTTAAAATCCCACTGAGTTCTGCACCTTGAAGGCTTTTTTTTTTTTAAGTTAGTTTTGGACAAGCAAGGTGGCTCAGTGGGTACAGGCTCCTCTTGCCAAGCCAGAGCACCTGAGTTTAATCTCCGGGCACCATCTGGTGAAAGACAAGAATGACCCCTGCAACTCATTCATGTATTAGGTTTCCATTTCTGAGACAAACAGGGCAGGAAATCAGGGCAGGAGTTCACGGCAGGAACTAAAGCAGAGCGGACCATAGAGGAACTCTGCTTCCTGCCTTGCTCCCCATGGCTTGCTCAGCTAGCTTTCTTATCAATTCCAGGCCACCTGCCCAGGGGTGGCACTACCCATGGTGGGCTAGGCCTTCCCACATCAATCACTAATTAAGAAAATGACCCACAGACAAACCCACAAACCAATCTGATGAAGATAATTTCTTTTCCTTAAAAAAAAAAAAAAAGGATTTATTTATTTATTATGTATACAGTGTTCTACCAGCATGTACACCTGCATGCCAGAAGAGGGCACCAGATCTCATCATAGATGGTTGTGAGCCACCGTGTGGTTGCTGGGAATTGAACTCAGGACCTTTAGGAAGAACAGCCAGTGCTCTTAAACCTCTGAGCTGTCTCTCCAGCCCGGAGATAAGTTCTTAATTGAGGTTCCCTCTTCCCAAGTATCATTAGTTTGTATCAAACTGACAAAAAGTACCTACTTACCTTCTGATTTCCATGCCTGAGCATAGTAGCATGCACTCATCCATATATAATGTGGAAAAAAAAGCAGGACCACCATCTGTTGAATTGTAAAATAGGCCTCCATTCTCCTAGTGAAAAGATTTTCCCCAAAGTAGTTTTCTAACTTAACTGCATTTTAGTATGCCTGATAAGTCAGAGTGCCTATGTTATGGTTTGTTTACTTGGTTTTATGTCTTCCAAAATTACTCTCAAAAGAAGGCTGGAAGAGTGATGGATTTCTTGCTTAGCATGGGCAAGGCCTTGGGGTTGACGCCCAGAACAGAAAAACAAATTTTACTAAGTTTTTCAAAAGAGGAGGAAGGCGGGGCTGGGGGCACTGCTGAATGGCAGAGAACTTGTCTGGCATAGGTGAGGCCCTGGATTCAATCTCGGGTACTATTGAAGGGGGGGGGGTCAGGGAGAGAGGCATAGATCTCATCTCACTGTCTAAGTTGTGTCAGCTCATCTCACTGTTTCCATCTCACTCTGGGACTGAGACAGGAAAGTGTTTTTATGACAGTAAGGACAGGGTCTCTATGATCGTTTTCTCTCTCTCTCTCCCCCTCTCCACTCACTCTTCTCCCTTCCTCCCTATCTCTCTCTGAGACCAGGGTTTCACTTTGGAATGGCACTCACTATGTAGCCCAGGCTAACCCTTCTTTAATTTCCTGTGGCTTTTGAAGAAATTCACCTGATTAAAGGGCTTGGGAAAATGACTTCTGTCACTACTACAGCTTGTGGTTTCGTTCCTGTAGGAGACCCAGTCAGCTGAAGTTTACCTAAGGATCCCAGCCAAATGCTCAGAAGAAAGTGAGGAGGTAGAAATCAAGGCTGAACTCTCCCCAGCACTGACGGTGATTTATCTTAGCTGGCAGTTTGTTCAGGGCAGGGAGCACTCAGGGTAAACAGCATGCATTGCTGCTTCTTGGCAGAGAAAAATGGAGTCCTGGACATCTAGAAGGGAAGGTGTATTCTTCCATTTGTGCTTTTTCAGCCACTGATGGGCATGCCCAGGCTACCTAATACTTAGGGAAATTTACCCTTGTTTCAGAGACTGTGTTAGGTCCTTTGGTATATACAGAAATCATATGTGACACATATGTGAAACGATCATATTAGACAAACCTAATGGTGATGAGCCCTGGGAGTCACAGAGCACACGATATAGGCGCACAATCTCCTGTTGAGATCCAGGGAAGGCTTCAAGTAAGCTTGAAGGAAGAAAAGCTAGGAAGGAAAGCCAGGAAGGAAAGCTACAAGTCTCAGGGCGTAAAGAACCATTTGAACAGAGGTGTGGCAGCTGCATGTGGGAAACAGCTGAGGTGTCAGAGGAACAGCAGGCTCAGATGGGAGGTGTGGGGAGGAAGGCCTGGCAGAGAGGTGTGTGTGTGTAGAAGGCAGAAGCTCTGTTATGCAGCAGAGCAAAGGCTTTATTCTGAACAGGGGAAGGATGTTTGCATTGTTAGTGGATTCCTGCTATAGAGCAGACCTTTGGGGGGTCGAACGACCCTTTCACACAGGGGTCCCATATCAGATATCCTGTATATCAGATGTTTATATCATGATTCATAACAGTATCGAAATTATAGTTCTGAAGTGTCAACAAAAATACTTTTGTGGTTGGTCACCACAACAGGAGGAACTGAATTAAAGGGTCACAGCATTAGGATGTTGAGAACCACTGAGCTAGAGTAAGAGCCAAGAATGAGGCAGGGAACTAAGAAGTGATGAATAGCAGGCTGGATTTGGGGCATTTATAAAGATTGGAAAAACATCCATGTGAGTAGTGATGAATATTTGCTGGGTTTAAAAGGGAGATACAAGTCCAGGGAGGCTTCCTGATTTCTGGCTTGTACATGTGGCTTTGAGTGGAGATAAGAACTCCAGGGACCGGAAACAAAGCTGATGACGGCTAATGTTTATTCATCAGCTACATGGATCAGACATTTGGGCCAAGAGTTTTCATGCATTTTCCTCCTTACCTTTATAAAGAAGATATTAAAGTTTGTGATCTGAATAGCGTAGCCAGATCTGCACACAGCACAGCTTTTGAACTGTGGAAAGAAGTTAGAATCAAAGGCATCTACTCCTGGACCAAATGCTGCTAAGCATCAGGTGGTGTGTGCGTGCGTGCGTGCGTGTGTGTGTGTGTGTGTGTGTGTGTGTGTGGAGTCTGAAGGGCCTGTGTAGAGAAATCTGGGAATGAGAAGAGTACTCAGAGTCCAGGCCATAGTTAAAAGCGATGGATTTGGGTGAAACTTGTAAATTGAGGGATGATCTGAGAGGCCTTCAAGTTAAAACAGACAGAGGGTAAGAGGCCCACAACAAGACAAAATCAGCCCCATCTGTTTTAAATCAGAAGATATGACCGATAGCAACAAACAAACAAAAACAAATAAAAATAAACAACAGGCAATTTCACACAGCTGTGTCAAATAGACATCCACCAAGTTAGGTGACTATATTAATTATATAGTTACAATATATAATTATCTTAGGTGGTAAACATTTTGTATAAGTAGCATTAATTAGTATAGGACAAGTTTCTTGAACTCTGTTCCTGGAGATATTAATGTTTGGAATTAACAAAGGGCTTCGGAGCTGGGCATTGTGGTGCATACCTTTAAACCCAACACTTGGGAGGCAGGAGGAGAGAGAGAGAGAGAGAGATCATTGTAAATTTCAGCTCAACCTAGTCTATATAGTGAGTTCCAGGACAACCAGAGCTACATAGTGAGACCCTGTCTTTAAAAAGAAAGAAGGAAAGAAAGAGAAAGAAAAAGAAACAAGACGTTGGAGGGGGCTGGAGAGCTAAGACCACTAGTTGTTCTTTCAAAGGGCCTTGGTTCAATTCCCAGCACCCACATGGCATCTTACATCTATATCTAACTCCACTTCCAGGGATCCGACACGCTCTCTGGCCTCTATGGAGACCAGGCACACATGTGGTACACAGACGTACATGCAGGCGAAACACTCACATACATAGAATAATAGATAACATAGGAAAAGAAATTTAAAGGACTCGATGGTTAGATCAGTTTAGCAAATGCTGGTATGATCTAGGCAGAGAGCCAAGTTCCACTAACTTTTATCTCACTGTTAGCTTGGCTCTGTAGCCTAATGGCTAAGGTGGTAAGCGCTTGGAACAACCTGAGCTTGAATCTTGCAAGAAGACAAGCTGGGTGACTTTAGGCAAGCCATTGAACTACACTAAAAACTGCTCAGAGGGGGACAGTAATCCATTCACTTCAAATACAGTTTAGT